TAAAAGGAAGTAAAACACCTTTTAATTCACTGTTAGCATTGTTAGCTCAAATACCTTCTGGGTCACTCGTGTTTACTGACTCGCTTTTTGCCTGCTGAGCTCAGCGCAGATTTGGCTACTTCACCAACTCACAGAGAAACAGTAACTACATCCCGCTTTTGTTTTTATCCAAAGCAGAAAAACTGACAACCCTCCAGCCAGCTGAGAATGATTCTGTTTCAGTATAACCTTCCATCCAATATGATGGAGCCATTAGACTGATTAGACTGAGAACAATAGTTATCTTACAAAAACGTGTAATACATGTTATTAATAAGGCAGATTTTTTGGCACATACACATCTGTTGTTTTAAAAATCACATGTTATGAAATTTAAGGATTTAGTGCACTATAAAATAATGCAAATAATGTATAAAGCTATATTTAATTTACTTCCGCAAAGTATACAAAAGTTTTTTTTCTTGTGTAGAAACTTAAGTATGATTTTAGAGATATTAATAAATTTACTGTTCCTTTGGCAAAAAAAAGAAGTGAAAATGAAATGTAAATCTGTGATGGGGGTTAAACTATGGACTAATGCCAGTGTAAATGTAAGAACTTGTGGTACATTTTTGTTGTTTAAAAGAATGGTTTTGAAAATAATTTTTGACGGTTACAAGAGTTTATAAGTTGTGTTGTAAATGTAAGAGTATTGTGAGCTTATTTGACTAAACTGTGTATATTTCTCTTCTTCTTCTTTTCTATTTTTTACTTAAATTGTACAGATTTATGTGTTAAAGGGGTAGATTAATTTGTTTAATTGGTTAAAAAGGACAGGTATAAATATAAGCATTTTGTTTCGGCCTGAGCCTTTTCAGTCAATTTAAATGTAATGTAATGTTTTATTGATTATTAGTATTATGATTTTTGACTGAATACATTCAAATTCAGTTCAATTTGTGATTTTTTTTCACAGCCGAATTCTTACAAACTGCACCTTTAAACGAAAGACAATGTTCTCAAAAATGACTCACTCACTCAAAGAATTTATGGTGTTAAGACATCTTAATGCTTCCACTAGTGGTTTAATTTAAGTCATAAAAGGGGATAAGAAGCATCTTTGCCTTGATCACCATCCAGATGGGAGATCACTGAAGCACAACCAATAACCAGCACAGGTGCTGGGGTTGGTGAGACTGCTCTACTCACACGGTGTTTTGCAGAATTCTGCTGCGCCAGTGAATTACAAGTTTATTTTCAATATTTTGTGTCAATAAAGAGTTACGCAGCCCTGTAGAAGCTACATCATCATCAATGCTTTGCATTGACTCATTCTTTCCTGCAACCTAAAATCTAAAATCTATTTCCAGCTTTCCCTGAAGCAGTTCTTGCAGCAACAACAACAACAACAAAAAAAGAATAATAAAGATTTTGCTGACTGCTGTGTGAGCTTGGCTGAAAAATTAGTTGTGCAGAAATCCCAACGATCTTCTCCTGGGAGCGGCGGCACAAAACTGCAGCTGTGCAGCAGTAAATGTTAAGTAGGACATGTTCAGTTTCAACGACTATATTGGAGAGGCAAATATTTCATTTTCTCAGTACGCTGCTTAAGGAAGAAGACGGGTCAAGGGAACTAGGCACCGTGAAACTAGCGTTATCATTGGAGCAAGGACCCAAATCAACACCCTCAGTGATGTTTGACTGGCGCTAATTTGACTTGTGAATCTATTCAGAAACTTTTAGGTGATTAACATTCATGTATGCGATCATGAAGGCACTCTATTTTACATTCACACTGCCAAGAAGTACCAGTGGATAATTACATGCCAATTTATACGGGTGTTTGCCGCCACTAATCAGATTGCCTTGCAATTATTACACTATAATCACAAAATAATCACCTAGAAATTCCCATGGATCTTTGTGTGGTGGTACACCGTCCTCCTGATTGTATTTATTAACTAAAATATAAACACATCTGCATGCATAGCAGTATTTTTGGAGACCAAGCTTACGGGGGTTGGAGTTTAGGCACTTCCTTGCTATGGTGGAATATTTAAGGGATTATGGAGGTGAGTTGATGATGTTTAGATGAACTGAAGCGATAGTTTTTATGCAGAAGTAATACTTGTGAATGTATTATTTCAATACAATCTCCTCTTGCTTACAAATATATGAGAAGCTGAGATATAAAATAAAATAAAATCAAAACTAGAGATTAGTGTGACTTTATGAACGAAATTTACTTTTAGTCTAAAGCAAAAAGCTATAATCAATGGGGGGGGGGGGGGTTGAATATACAGCAATTTCACATGGTGATCAAAGCTCAAGTAGTTAATCACAAGTGTTAGAATTGTATACAGTTTTTTTACTTAAAGCTATGATGGCAAACTTGGAAAACAAATTAGGTGAAACTTTTTTATGCCTCTTTTATTTTTTACATTTATTTATCCAAGTGAACTGTTTGAGAACTACTTCTCCTTTACAAACATGACCTGGCCAACATGCTGCGTAATGTTGGCCAGACAATGTATACAATATAAGACACAGCACAAACATTTACATTAAATAAAGTTAATATAAAAGTAAAAGAGCTTAAATGTGTATTTTCATTATTGTCCGCAGGAACAACAGTCAACTATTGTACTTTGGATGGTCTGCTTGATTTTGGAGAACACTAGGAGTGCTATGGAAACGTTTCCAGTCGTGTGGTGCTGCACTGCCATTGTTATAAAAATAAGAAATAAAAACTAGACTACTTTAGTTAACTAGTATCACAAATCTCCTGTTATGCATACTTAAAACATCCTCTACTTGTATTTAAGTTCAGCTAGTTGTGCTAAACAAAAATCTCTCAAAAAGTTTTCCTCAGATCTGTCATATGTTGACATTTCAAGTGAGAGGAGAAGTAATTGAAGAGTTTGATGTATAACTTGTGTACGGAGTGTAAACCGACAGCGATTATTTCTGATATTACATTTTAGAATATCAGCTGATCAATCATCACTAATACTTACTAATAATCAAGAAAGTACTTTGTAATCGTAAGACCAGCCTGTGTTGGGGGGCCTTATAATAGGTAGAACCATCACTTTCCATGTCACATTGAAGTATTCCATATAAATATGTGTTGAATCAAACTTATTAACTTGCGTCACATCAGGATTTGGGGGAGGAGGAGATTGTTGGCGAGACAATTTCTGTTTCTCTATACTCAAGTACATTCTTGTGTACTTGACAAGTACATCAGGAGGTCTGTTTAACCAAGAATGGGAGGGAGAGGGCAGCATTTGGAACAGAACCATACTCCGTTACATCATAGTGTCACGGATAAAAGAACGACCTGACATAAAAATAAAAGTCTAGTTTGTCCCTAAATGACAAAATAACAATGAATACACATTCTTTTTTATACTATTTGGTCCACCTTTGATCAAAATAGATATAATACCAGCATTTCCTACTTTTAAATCAAGAAAAAAACTTATTTTTTTCATCAAAACAGAGCTATGCTGCTTTTATTTCGATAGTGGGTTAGTTAATTGGCATTTTGTGAAGATTTTGGAAAAAAATACATACAGCTATTTTTTCAAGTACTTTACAATAAGAGACAACTGACAGGAAGAGACGGAACAAGCTAGTAAACAAAGCTAGCTCGGTTCTGGGTTGCCCACTGGCTACAGTTGAGGAGACGTGTGAAAGGAGGATGCTGGGGAAGATGACCTCCATCTTAAAAAGAACCCTCCCACCCACTGCGCTCCAGTGTGGAGACCATGGACAGCTCCTTCAGATGCAGACTGAGACAAGATCAGACCAGATGTAAAACTGAACGCTACCGTAGGTCATTCATCCCAATTTTTTGTATATTATTTCAGAAATGGCCATTGCAGCATCAAAACGTATCCCGGCTCTAAATGCTCTGAATCAACCATAAAACCTTTGCAATACTTTGTCGCTGTTCCTTATTATATGTCCTGTTGTTCTGTATCCTGATTCTTGTCATCTTTCTGTCACACTCTGCAGGTTATTTCACAACTTTAACACAAACACCCCCCCAACAACTCCGCCTGGTCCTTCATTTTGAGTTTTGGCAGCTCTGCCATCTCTCCATCCTCTCGGTTCGGTTCAAGAGCTGCAGAGTAAACAACTGACTGTCTGCTGTCACAGCATGTCGCCCACCCATACACACCGAAAGCAAGGAAACCCACTATGCTGACCAGCACAAACACGAACACACACCAACGCTGAGGATTGCTTTACCCTTTGGAGTGGCTCACACACACGAGCACACACACACGCGTGCATACACACACACACACACACACAGCGATCTGACACCACAAAAAATATCTAAGTGCTGACTGTCACTGCATCCAGCCTCGGGTGAGGTGGCTCTTGAGACGCACCAAGATGGACAGATAGACCACAGCATGCACACACACACACACACACACAGAGAGAGAGAGAGAGAGAGAGAGAGAGCTGTCATCACTGCAATAGCACACAAACAATGAGGGGAAAACAGCAATGCTAGGATATACCAGAGTAATGAGAATGATCTACATAAATCAAAGAAGGGAGAGCTCAATCGACACATTCTCAAAAGAATTCTTTTCTCCTCTTCGGCTCCCTCAGTCTGTAAATATTTGTCAACATGATGTGTTTCAAAAACATTTTTTTGAGCCATAAACAGGAGGAAACGACAGCATTTTGATCTGTCAACATCACTTGGAGGATTTCAGAGAGTGATTTAAGAGTGTATTTACACAACTTGATGCTCAGAAAACCACAGGGGCCGGGCTTTTAAGATTTAAATCAAAACAAACGAGTCTGTCACTCTAATGAGTTTTGTTCACTCAAATTATGTTCCAAGTGTGAAATCCACTCACTCGTTCATATACTAGTCCACCTAATATTAATTTAACAGCTGATCTTTACTGTAAAGTATATGCATAATTAAGAGCTTTGTGCATTTTTGAGCATTAGCATAATATAATTAGCATAAAAATGTTTGTCTGGCCTGCCAGACTCATCCTCTGTTTAATTCTGCACAGAGAAAGAGTCTGGTAACTCACAGGCAGAAAGGCACCCGAGGGGCGGGACTAGGCAGTTCAAAAATAACCAATCAGAAAAAAAGATGGACATGCCAACTGTACCGCGTGATACTGTAGTTTTATAGCTGTAGTAAAAATGGCGTCTGGCAACGGCGTAAACATCTTTTATTTCTTAAAAAGAAAGGCTTTTAGCGCATCTACTTGTTGCAGTTTTAAAGACATTCAAGTCATTAAGAACAGAGGAAAGAGCCAAAGTGAAGTCCGCTGATGTCTTCGTTGTTTATGAGAAACTGGGCGGCGCTGTGTGACGTCCGCGACGCTGTCGTTTTTTTAGCTGTAGTCAAAAATGGCGTCTGGCAACAGCAAAACACCTTTCTTTAGAAATAAGGCTTTTAGCGCTTCTACTTGTTGTTTTAAAGACGAGTCCAAGTCATTTAGAACAGAGAAAAGAGTAAATACCGCTTCAGTCGCCATGGACAACAAACTCGGCATTGTGGTGTGTGACGTACGCTACTCAGTCAGCGCTGATTGGCTCGGTTAGAATTCTCACGAGGTGGGGTTATTTGAACAGGAGAGTTCCCAGACCCTTTCTCTGTGTGCAGAATTCAACAGAGTCTGGCAGGCCAGGCTAATAAAATGTGCTAAAATTGCTAACTAACATTTACAATTTCCATTAAAAATGACCAAAATGGACAAGTTCTGTGTGCAGATCTAATCTATACAGACATGTATGCCATTCACCTCAGTTTAAGACAACCCACAGAGTTAAATGAAAGGTAAAGTGAAGGGACTTAACCGAAGAACAGAGTTCTCGATCCCCAGTGAGTCGTGGAGGATGGCTGCTTATACTGAGCCAGGATTCTCTGGAGGTTTCTTCCTGTTAAAAGGGAGTTTTCCTCTCCACTGTCGCTTTATGCTTGCTTAGTATGAGGATTGCTGTATAGTCACTGACACTAGTCAGTGACTTGATGCAATGTGCTGGGTTCCTTATATAGGAAACATTATTTCTGATTGGCTTAATAAACTGTGAATTGGAATGTTTATTATGTGAAGTGCCTTGAGACGACTCTTGTCGTGATTTAGCGCTATATAAATAAACTTGAATTGAATTGAATTGAAGTTCAAAGAAATCTGAGGCTCACGTTTTTAAATTATGTGGGAAAATCATTCAAAGTCCTTTTCATTGATCTGCATTGCCTACACCTAGCGCCATCAGCAGACTGCACGAGTAAGGTCACTGCAGAGAGAACTGAAGAAGTTGCACTCGTGCGGGTCGATTCTGATTTACTTTCAGAGGAAGCCAAGCCTCGTCTGGTATTCTGTTTCCCCTAGATGCTACACAGTAGCAACTACATATAATGACACCTGTTGCAAACCTGAGTGGATTAAATCCACTCTTCTTTATTATATCCAACACAAGCGTCAAATGAATGCTTTACTTTTAGCAAAAGTAACTTTCCACTCTTCAGAAATACTCATGCCCTCCTTTGCAGCGGCTCCTTGGCAGAAGCAACTTTATTGTTTGTTTAATAAAAGTTTGCTGAAGTGAAATTTATGCTTGGCACAGTGATCACTTCACTCCCAATTAGTCACGTTACTCCCAGTTAGTCACATCGTTGGCTTTATTGGTTTGAAAAACAAAGGCTTTTTCAGAAAAACTGATTATTGTCTGGATTTTGGCACTAAATGTTCCCCAAACCGCTCAAAGCTACAGCCAAACTCAGGTGGAGAACAAACAGATATGGGGTTCCATTTGTGCCAAGAACGTGTTAAATTTGTTGTTCTTGTCACCTTGTCCAGCTGTTTTCCTACTCTGTCGCCTGTCGACATGTGATGTCAGTTTTCTCTGTTGTCAGGCCATTGCCACGTGATGTTGTCATGTTCTGTTGTTGTAATCTGTTGTCCGACTGTGATTTTACCTGATGTCGTCTGAACAGGACATACATTTCAGGGTAGTTTAACACCATATGAATGTGACTGTCACTAGTTTAAAAAAACATTACGGTAAAGGTTACCTGTGGAAAAGAAAGCATTCAACCTTAACATGACTCCTCAGACTTTGATGGCCGTGCAGTTTTCTAGCGCTGTACTTTCTGGACCTGCTCATGGTCCTTCGCCTGCCAATTATGTCATACTACGGCAATACCAGTCAGCCAAAATATAGTGCATCTCTTTTTTGATTCTGTTATTTCACATATGCTTTGGAAAGAGTTTAGTGGTCTTGTTATTAAATTCATATTTCTCACTGCCTACATGTTTTTGAATGTGGTAACGTAACTTCTGTAAGTCCAGCCAGCCATCTAGTGTGATGTCAGACAGGCGCAGAACCCCGAGCCAACCAGAAGGAAACATGGTGTCTAATATGGAGTCCCCCAGAGATGGTAGACCAGCGCCTGATGTACTTTAGACCTGATTTCTATGGTTTTGTGGCATGAAGCTGCCAATATTTTTCAACAAATCGACATCATTTTAATCATTTTCAACAACGTTTTGATGAATATTTCCAGAGATTAATGGCAGAAATACACATTGTCACTTTCACTCACTTGTGCAGTGACCATATGAACTGAACAAATAATTTTGGCACATTTGGAACCCCATAAACGAGCTAAAACATGAGAAGTTCTCAATCAGTCAGGGTAATTTCAGCTGTATGTCCTCTCTCTCCTGTGTCATTATCGGTCCCATGTCATGTATGAGATTGTACGGCAACATTCTCACTGTAATTAACGTCAGAAAAACCAACAGAAAATACTAGTATTCATAAAAAAGGAACGCCGGGAGGGAGGCGATGGCATTCACGACTGTAAGCCATGTTAATTACGCGCCCTGCTGCCTTCAGATGACTGCTGGGATTTAATGAACTGAGAAAGAGGAGCTTTTCACACAGTATAAAGCAGCTGTGTACTGTAAGAATCACTTATACTAATTAGAAGATGAATGAGCATTAGTCTTCTATTGCTGTGTGTTCCATTTAGTTACTTTGTGCTGGTTGATATAATCAAAGTGTTCACGCAGGAATGCATAAGACGCTGTTTGCAGATGTCACTGCAGGGTTTTATTTATATAATCTGGTTGCATCTTGTGGCCTTTACTTCAAGTAGAACAAGCAGAAAGAGGGCAGGACGTAGGCAGGAAGAAGGGGAAGAAACGCTGCAAAAAACAGGACGTGTACCTTAGTCTACAAGGAGGTTGACTTTCTGCTCAATAAGCTGCTGGATGCCCCAGTTCTGTTAATTCTCAAGCGCAATATGCAAAGATACAGTTATTCCCTGTGTGCTTATGCAATATACGTATATACATAAAACAAGTGGAAAACGGACCAATGATCTCTTTATGAAGGTAAGAAATTAGAAAGGAGCAACATCCTCGTCGGATCAGCTTCATGATGTGCATCAAAAAGGCTCAAGAGCTGTTTTAGGGGTGAAAATAAATAGTTCCTACCAGTTTCTCTGGATATCTGGATGAAGGCTTCCACACCGCTTTCCCCGTAGTTTCCCTCCGAGGCCAGCGTGGACACGTAGTTCCACTCCATGGCCGTGACGATGTCCATCATGGCCTGGGCCTGGTAGGAGTCAGGCGGCACAACACGGGAGAAGAAGTCATAGCGACTGTTGTCACTCAGCTCAGGAGCTGTGGAGGCATAGCTGATCTGGGGGATCTGGAAAAGCAGATGGAAAATAAACCCATCAGCAATTTATAAATAACTCCTTCTGCAACTAATTTTCTATTAGTTCGTAATACTTAACTAAAATCAGATTTGAGAATTGACAGCTTGAACAACCATGTCAGTTATAATATCGACTAGCCGAGCCATAATAATTTAGTTTTTGTTCATCTTTAACAAATTAAATCTTACGTAAAAAATCATCTTCAACAGTTTAGAAAAAGAGCACAAAAGAGGAAGAATCAGTAACATGAAAGAAGGATAAAGAAGTTAAGCTGCCAATTCAAAGGATTACTCTTTAACAATGGTGTCAAAAGTGACAGATGAGCAGAGATCTGAAGCACAAGAAGACACAGCAGGACAGACCGCCTCAAAAACCCACAAAAGACAGATACCAGGATGACAGGATGACAGAAGACGCACACAAGCACACGTGTCGCCAGTGATAGGTAACGTAACAGGCCGAAGGTGCTCGACGGCAGACAGGCAGATTGAGTTTTCCCCTGACAGAGGGGAACAGCAAAGGGAGGAGGAGGATCTGCATCTGTCAACATTCACAAAAACACACACACACACACACACACACACACACACACACACACGCGCGCGCGCGTGTTGGAGACAACTCTCTGGCATTCAATGGGAGTAGGACTAATCTCCCAGTCTCACCCTAAACTAGAGACACATCAGCTGTCTGTCTTCTATAAACACACACACACACACACACACACACACACACACACACACACACACACACACACACACACACACACACACACACACACACACACACACACACACACACACACACACACACACACACACACTTATGGACTGCACACAGTTTGCTGTGTTCAGCAGTTGTGTCATATTGTAGCCTGTGTGTGTGTGTGTGTGTGTGTGTGTGTGTGTGTGTGTGTGTGTGTGTGTGTGTGTGTGTGTGTGTGTGTGTGTGTGTGTGTGTGCGTGCGCGCGCACGCACACGCACACGACTATAACGTTTCTAAAGCTAATCAGTCACTGTCCCTAGTCCCTTCAGGCATCATCTGGAGCCCCGCCCATCCACCATCTACTCTTCGCCATTTTAAAAGGTTACAGATCAATTCTGTGGATTTTTTGACAGTTTTGGAAAGGTTGCTTAAGCGGATCTAAATTACGTCATCGAGACCAAAGCACTCATGGTGAAAATGGTTTGTTAGAGCCTCGTGTTTCACTTTAAATCAGATACTTTCCGTATATGAACACTAATCATAAACTAAAGAGCTTCATAAGCTTTACCGTGTGACGGCGGCACAGGAGTTAAGTGCTCGCCCCGTGATCGGGAGGTGGCAGGTTCGAGCCCTGCTCAGTCTGTCGCTGTCGTTGTGTCCTTGGGCAAGACACTTAACCCACCTTGCCTGCTGGTGGTGGTCGGAGGGACCGGTGGTGCCTGCGTACGGCAGCCTCGCCTCTGTCAATGTGCCTCAGGGCAGCTGTGGCTACAACGTAGCTCATCACCATCAGCATGTGAATGTGTGTGAATGATTGTGTTGTAAAGTGCCTTGGGGGGTTCCAGGACTCTAGAAGGCGCTATATCAAATACTTGCCATTTACTCTTCATCATTTGTCATTTGAACTGGCAGGTCAACCACTTTGGGCCCCGGTGTTTTAATAAAACTTATTAAATTTAGGCAAAAAAAATACTTTATAAAGCTTGCAAGTGTTTTTTAGTTAAATACAAATCTGACAATATTCAAATGTAGTAGTAGTAGTATTTTATTATATTTTAGAAATATTTTACAATATATTATGACCCTCATTTACCCAATTCAATTCTTTTTTTCTTTTCCTTATTTTTGCTTTGTTTTGAGCGGCGTTGGTTGATTTACATTATGCAGAAAGAATTGAACAACAGGCTGAATGAATGAATGAATGTCATGGATTTTACCAATACGTTTATCAATAACCCATTTCCTATAGTGAAGAGAGAAGGAGACAATGAGCAGACACGTCAAACAGTTATAACTGTGGCAAGATGCCGAAGCAAATGCCCCGAACATCTGTTGACAGACTTTATTTATAGTGAGCAAGATAAGAAAGGAGGAGTGAATGAATGAATGAATGAATGGATGAATGAATGAATGAATGAATGAATGAATGAATGAATGAATGAACTGCTTTACATAAGAAAAAAGTGGAACAGTCTGCCTTATTTAAATTAAATGGTAAATAAAATTTTGAAATATTACCAATAAATTACTTTCTATTATGTTCCCTCAACCACTAATCAGATTAGGAAACCCAGCCTAATTCACATTTAGCAAACAACTGTCTACAGTTTAGTCTCTTGTTTTATATATCAGGATTTGGTCTGATAGCTGAGAGTCATCTCCATCACATATTCCCAGAACTGCATGTTTATGTTGCATAAAACTGGAAATCATCCATTAAATCAAAACCATACACAGCTAATTATTTCAGCAGATACAAGTAATGGCCACAACTCAGTCAATTTGGTGGAAGATCCTAATATTATATTAGTACATATTTGCAGGTATTTTTTATAGTTTTTTTTAACATTTTTGTTTCAAGATTTTACCAACAGGGTCACGCCTCCATTATTATCCTAGTTTAATAAGACTATGAGAGCCAGCAGTTGGCCTTTAATTACAATTCCAAACCAACGTTTCAAAGTCGTTTGGAGAAGTACAACAACAGAAGTGCAACGTGCTTCAAAAAGCTTTTGCTATTAAGTTTGATGTTAATTATAAAAGGAGATAACATTGAACTTTGATGCTGAAATAATGTGGAAAGCTGTTGCAAACTTTTAATAAATTCACAGCAATTTATTGCAATGAATGCCAGAGGCAGTCCCACTCAAAGACCTGCATCTGAATGTGTTCTGAGATCCAAGGTTTATTCGTGCCTCCAACGTCACACCTTTTGTGGCTGTGCCGGCGAACTCGTATGGGCTCGCCTCGCACGCTCCCTCTTTACTCCTGCTGGCATCTTTATTACACGAGCTGCAGAAAATGTACACAGGAAAACACACGCCGCTCCCGTCTCGTCAGGAAGACATTACAATACCTTGACATGGGAATGACAGGAACACGGACCTGGCATCGGCAGCTTGAAACAGTTTGCTGCATTCACAGTTGCCATGACAGCAACGTCACCGTGAGGAAAGAAGCAGCATTAGGAGCGCATTCATCTGGGAACTCGACTACTTCAGGAAACCTTCAGCTACACCACATAAATTAAAGATCAATTACAGCGGGTGTGTTTTAACGGATAGATGATTTCTGTTTGTGTATTTTTTCATCAAAGTCAGCAACAGAACACACAAAAGCTCTAACACAGGCAAGGGGAACCCTGGTCCTCGAGGGCCGGTATCGTGCATGTCTTTGCTCCAACACGTCTGACTCAGCGGTTGAGTCACCTTTTCAGCAGCGCATCAGGCTCTGCAGAAGCCTGTTAATCACCTGCTGATTGAAATCAGGTGTGTTGAAGCAGGGTTGAAACAAAAATATGCTGGATAGCGGCCCTTGATGGACCAGGGTTCCCCAACCCTGCTCTAACGCGTCCGTTTTCAGCAGTTATTTATCAATTCTGAAAGCAGAATTTTCTGGTGTTTGTGTTTCTCTGTTGTTAAATTGCTTCTCACTTCCTTCAGTGAACTCAAGAGTTCATAGATGGGACATCGGAGAGCGGTTATTAGTCACGTCTGCCAGGGGAGCACAATTGGAAACTTTCATAAAGTCCAGAATGTGGATGTATAATTTATAGAGTGTAGAGATAAACAAATCAAAGTCACGCCAGCACACAGAAACAACCCAGGACACAAATTGTGTGCACGCGGCTCTGAACAGTGCATGCCTTTGTTCGTGCATTTCTCTGCTTTTCCGCTTGTTTTGCTTTTACTCTGTGTACATTTAAATATGCGAATATCCATTTCAAAGAGATCTGAATGCACTTCTGCAGGAATATGAGCTATTTTGTCTGTTTACAACAGCTAAGGGAAGGAAACCGAGTGACCTGGGCAATCCTGATACTTTGATCTTTTGTTATTTCCCCCTCAGCTGGAAAACAGACCAACGTAGACACAAACACACCCTTTGTATACACAGCATTGTCATCTTCTTGTCATATTCCCAGAAATATTACTGAATGAGAATCTAAAGCAGGGGAGGAAAAACCCTGGAGCAGCAAGAGAGGGAGACTGGATCCAATCACATCTTCCACATGCACACCTGTGTGTGTGTGTGTGTGTGTGTGTGTGTGTGTGTGTGTGTGTGTGTGTGTGTGTGTGTGTGTGTGTGTGTGTGTGTGTGTGTGTGTGTGTGTGTGTGTGTGTGTGTTTTTTTAAAGAATACAAAAAGCATCTCTGAATACATTAAAGCAATCCCACAGCTCTTGGTCAACTAGAAATGCACTAAATGAGTGTGTAGAAGCACAACTACAAGCACATCTAATGCCCTGTAACATTTGAGTCTAGTAAATCACTCGATGTACCGTGAGGTTTTTCAAAGGAAGTGGAGCAGGAGCTGGAAAATTAACGAGTTGGTTGCCCCACATGGCCGAGGAGGAAGATTATGCCTCCAATCCCTTTAATTTCATTTGCTTTAATGAATGTGTGTGTGTGTGTGTGTGTGTGTGTGTGTGTGTGTGTGTGTGTGTGTGTGTGTGTGTGTGTGTGTGTGTGTGTGTGTGTGTGTGTGTGACAGAGAGAGAGAGAGTGTGTACATTAAAATAGAGCAGCCTGTTGTGTTTTAATTAACGCCGTCTCACTTTCACCAGCTTATCAGTCGGGTAATGTATTGTTTATGTGTCTTGATGCGTAATGGTCTGTAATTATGTCACTGAGCTGATCCTTAATGAAAACCCACTGAAGTTCCTGCTTCTGGTGGTGGGTTTTAACTGGTCAGCTCACCAGCTGGATCCAGACTGAAACATTACTAATGACTACAAGAGAGGTTACAAGTTAATCTAGTAGACAAATTCTTGTTCCAATTTGA